GAAATTCGTAAGGAGATCCAAGCCTTGGGACATCACAGTGCGCCGGGCCCCGATGGTCTTCTGCCAGCCCTTTTCAAAAATGGTGGCATAAAGCTTGTTGGAGAACTACGGGTGCTGTTCTCTAAAGTTTGGAACACTGAGCAGGTCCGCTCCTCGTGGGGGGAGTCGATTGTCGTCCATATCGTCAAAAAGAGCCCGCGCAATGAATGCGCCAATCATGGGGGTATAAGCCTAATCCCGATAGCGTCAAAGCTGTTGGCGTCCGTCATTCTCCGCCGATTGTACACTACGCGTGAGGAGCAGGCTGGGTTTCGTGCCGGTCGTGGATGCATTGATCAAATCTTCACCCTCCCATAGCTGCTAGAGAACCGTCATGCTTATCAAAGATCAACGGATATCGTATTCGTAGACATCTGCGCGGCCTACGACTCTGTCGATATTGTGAAATGTTTGTTGAGGAATGGAGTACCTGAGAAGTATGTGTCGATCCTCAAAGAGTTGTATCGTCATACCCCAGGTCGGGTTAGGGTCTACGGCCAGCTTTCACTACCCTTCACCGTCTCGAGTGGAGTTCGACAAGGTTGTCCCATGTCCCCATTCGTTTTCAACTTTGCCATAGAGGATGTTCTGCACGGTGATTCCTTCGGTCTTCGAAACGGTGGAGTCAAACTCCTCCCAGGGAACAGAGTTCTTGACTTGGTATATGCCGATGACATCGCCTTTCTGAGTAACAACACACAGGTAGTCCAAGGCGCTTTAAACCGCTTGGCGATAGTGTTATCCAGATATGGTATGTGTTTGCACCTTAAAAGTGCAAAGTGCTCGTTCAAGACTGGCAGGAGCCTGTGCCTGAACTCACCATCTTTGGTGATCAGCTGGAAGTAGTTGAGAGCTTTAAGTACCTCGGGAGCTTGATCGCAACTGGTGGGGTTGGTGGGGAGGAGTTTACATCACGAATGGTGAAAGCTAGAGCAGCTTCCGCCAACCTGCGACACATGTGGCGCCGCCATGACATCCGACTATCCGTAAAGGGAAGGGTGTACAGTGCCGCAGTTCGTAGCGTTTTGCGTTACGGTTGCGAGACCTGGCCTACCCGCGTTGAGGATGCTAATCCGTATTCAACCACCGATATCTTCGACGTATGGCCCATATCTGGCGGGAACATCGGGTGAGTAATGATGAAGTTTGTCGTCGTGTGTTGAGTGTGGATAGTCGCTCGCTAACAAGTAATCGCTCTACACCGTCTCCGATGGCTTGGCTACGTTTTACATACGTCTGCTCATCGTCTACCCTTTCGTGCTCTTCTTGCACATGCTGGGCTAGGCTGGAAGAAACGTCGCGGCGGTCAGACCATGACATGGCTTTGAGGTATGAAGAACCTAGCTTCAGTTTTGACTCCGGTTGATGCAGCCCGGTTTCCAGGTTGGGTCCCAAGGGATGAGGATTGTTGTTGGTTTGAGGCGCTGAGATAAAGAGAAGTTTTGAATCGCAAATTGTTA